AAGGAGGGGTGGAAAGAAGAGAGGCAGATAACCATCAATTTAAAACAAAGAATATCTGATGCACAGTACTGAGAGCTGAGGGGACAGATACACTGACACCCGCAGAGCCTAGGTCGATGTGAGAGCATGTGGACTGGACAAATAGGAGGAGACCAAAGAGCCAGAGCACCTGAAACAACACTGATGGCACCAACTACAACAAGGGCATCAATTTACCACTGTTGCTCTTTCTTGGAACTGCTGTGTGTCAGACAAGGCGAAAATGACATAGCAAAACATTGTTTTTGGTCAGTTTGTTCTTTGTTTATACAGAGCAAGCTTACCGGTAGGGCCAATTATGAAAGAGCAGTAAATACAAAGCCATTGGTTTTTCAAACTAAAACGTGACCAGGCCCAACAGCCGATCAGTTAACAAGAAACAGGGGAACCAAGGAAAATAAAGTAAAACTAATCCAAGAGCATGAGGCCTGCAACTGCTTTTCCAACCACTGAATATACTGTTAAAATAATTGACAATAATAACTGTACTAATAACAGTATGTGGCCACATCACATCTGTTAGTGCACCTACACCAACAAATTGAAAAAGCTAGAACAGAACATGTGCAGCAAGAAAGAAAAATATAAGCTGTTTGTGTAGGGGGACCCTGTGTGTTTTTTCCATTAGTTAGGTCGGTTGCCTCTCGCTCTCTCTCTCCAGATACGTGCTGCAGGAGTTCTGGCGGGGTTCCTAGCCGCAGTCAAGACTGCTCCAGGCAAGATCTTATCCTGCAAGGATCAAGAGACACTATGTGTGCCTGCGTGTGTGTATCCTTGCCAGGACCGTACCCAGACATAATCATCAAAGGAGACATCTGTGTGACTGAGTTTTTTTTTTTCCCCCAGGTAAGTGGGTGTGTATTGTTCAGCATAATAATACTAACCTAACACCAAACTCATGTTTGGGCCATTGAAGGGAATCACTGATGCCTGATATGAAAACATGCCCCCTGGCAATCAGTTAGAATGTATTCAAATTTAATAGACAATGAAAAATTGAAGGGATGCTCTGCACCTGCACTGAGTGTCTTTAAGTGCCAATCTGTGTGTACATGTCCTTCAAGAGAGCAGCCATTTATAATTTGCAAGTGCATGCATCTGTGTACTGTACTTGTACAGCAGCTGTACATAAATGGTGTCTCAAACAAAAGGCTCCCCTTTTCACAAACCTGTCTTGAAAGGTCTCTTAGACAGTTCTGATCCTGGACCAGCCAGGCTACCGCACCTTGAGAGCTGCCCCAGTCTTCACCTTCCATGCTGATCTGAGGTCAGTGCGCTGTGAGCCCAGTACTGCTCCAGGAGCCAGGAAAGAGGCCTAGGGAGAGCTGACCCCCTGGCCCAGCAGATGGAGCTCAGGCTGGGGGAGAAAGTCACACCGACACCCCTGGCACTCCCCGAGAACCAGAGTAAGAGACGAGAGCCAAGATGCACCTCACACACAGGCGCACACACACACACACACACACACACACACACACACAAAACAACAACAAACCACCTACTCAAACACATGCAGACACACAACCTGGCAACACCAGAAAGAGTGCAAGAGACCTGAAAGCCAAGACACCTACAGACATCCCACAACACCTTAGCAACAAAGATACTTTCTGACTCACCATGCCGGTCAGGAGTTCAAAGAGGATGGCGCCTAAACTCCACCAATCACATGCTGCTGTCTCTTCACTGATACCTCCCACCTCTGAGACAGGAGCAAAAAAGAGGAAGCAACAGGATTAATCAACAGAGTAGGAGCAGAGGAATAGCTCATACAGTATGTTGGGGAAGAATAATCAACTAGTGACTGATGTAAAATTAGAAAATAATCAAATGTGTATAACAAATTATTTACTAGATCTAAAACTTACATGCCATTTTAGATACCTTGCCTTTATACTGAATGACATCTTGGATCAGTCAGTATTTCATTGTACTGATACAATCGATTTGAAATGAGCGCAAAAACATGAACACAGTCTCACACACACACACAAACAAGCGCGTGTCTCATAAAAGGGTGATTTGCATAATAAAAAAGCAGTTAAAATGAGGAAACCGTCTGTGCTGCAACTTCACACCATCTGCATGACCTGACCTCCAACACAAACACACACACACGCATGCAACACGTGCACCCTCACCAAGAAATGTAAACGCAGGAAGGCATATGAGAACAAACACTGCAACATTTCTACTCAGTTCTCTTCATCCCTGCATTTATTTTTAGTTCCTTGTAATGATTTACGCCACAGGTTATGGGTGCAACTAACATTTATTTACATTATCAATTCATCAGCAGAATATTTAGTCAAATAACGTTTGGTGTGTAAAATGTCTTGTTTTGCCCATTCAACAGTCCAAAGAGGGTTCAGAAGTATTGGTTCAGTTTACCCAAACCATAAAGACATATTTAAGAAGCTGTAATCAAAAGGTTATGAAACATGCTTGAAACATGACGGACGCAGAATTGATTATCAAATTAGTTTCCAGTTCAACATTTTCTGTTGTCTGAGTGCTAAAAATTTAGCTCGCAGCTACAATCTGTAAGAATCAGATGCACAACCAGTCTGACTTAAAGCTCAGTGGAAGGCTTCTGGGATTCACACTGCGTATTTACTATAAGACTCAGCAACCAAGAGTGATAGTCGTTTGCTAAAGTCAAATGTGAACGTGTCAGTGAGTGTATGTGTGTGTGTGCTAGCTCCACTGGGCACCAGATGGCCTCTTGTGCTGCTCAGCTTCCCTATGCTCTGCTCTCCCCAGAGAGAGGGGTCCTGCTCACCCAGAGGGCCGGGACCCAGGGTCACGGCTGTGCGGGCCCACAGACCAGGCTCCTCAGCTGGGGGAGCATAGAGACAAAGACCCCTTCATCTCCTGGAGGCTACCAGTAACTCTAGGGGCCTGTGCAGCTCTCTTGCAGCCAAGGTTACAATACGACTACATGTTTGCTATATACAGTGCACACACACACACACACACAGCCAACTGAGCAACCAGTCTCCAGGGCTCCCTAAGACTACTGTTTTGACAGCCAAAGAGAGAAGATCGTCATTGAATGGACTAGTGATACCTGCGTAGTTAGAAGCTGGAGGGGAGACACTGGACATGTGCACACACACACATACACACACACACACACACACACGTCTCAGAGAAGGTGAGTTGCCATCACAATGGATTAATGTCTAAGGAGCTGCAGGGAGAGTACAGCCGAGCTGGCTACACTTACTGCTCTGTCAGAGCGAGGCAGGGAGATTGAGAGAAAGAGGATGGGAAGAGAGAATTAACTGCATCCACACGCCATGGGTCATTCACAGCCTGCTGTTGCAGTGTACTGCATGATGTGTACATTTTCAAATGTAAACATACCTCCATGAATCTGATATTCTCTTTCTTGGGCAGGGCATTCAAAACCTTCAGACTAATCATGACAATTCTAAGAAAACAAAAGGATACCAAGGAGATCAGAAACACCTATACAACAATACAGTGTGCTCACCTTGTGGCCTCTTCTTCCCTTTCCCCTCAAAAATTCAGTTCCCTCCTGCTTTGTATCTTAACCACAACCCATCTCCTCCCTCCTGGGGGCCATAAGGAACTTTCTCTCTTCTCCTCTTAGGCCGACTTCCCCAAAAACTTAACCGACAGTCATTGTTGAAAAAGGAAGTAAAATGTATGCAGGTAGGAAGTAAGGAAAGACCTTTGTAAGATGTTCCAAGACTGTGAGTGTGCGTCTTCTGTGAGCTGGGGAAACGCTGTTTAAATGGTGCCAAATGTTCATATAACTACTTGAATTATACAGTACACTCAGTTGGCAGTGTTTTAGGCACACACCCAGCTAAAACTAATACAGCAGTCCTGCAACAAATCTTCCTTCATGAAGGTGATGGTGATCAGTTTTTGTTCAAACAGTTTAGGAGAAGTGTTGATTGGACTTGTATCATTTTGGGGGCTGTGATTTGTATTGCTGCTGAACTGTACTACACTATACAGAGAGGTGTTTCTGGATTTAATGCAGGACGGTTGTATTAAACTGCATTAGTTTTTAGCTGGGTGTGCCTAATAAACCGCCAGCTGAGTGTATATTGAAAACAAACCTAATACAAGCCCATTCATTATCACAGAGGACAGAAAAAATATTCAAATAATAAAGCAGAAGTACGTTAAGAGTATAATTTCTTCCTTGAAAGGCTTTGCAAAACAATGAGATGACAGCTTAGTGTCAAAAGGGGAAGTAAGCTTTATTTTCCATTAGATCATGGAATGGCTAAGCAGGTAAAAGAAAATGACACAGAAAACAAATAGGGTACGAGTCCTCGGTAACAGACTTGTTAACTCAGAGAGGAAGAATATTGAATTTCCCCTTTCTTAGACACTTGACAGAGAATCGGTTGAAGCCTTGCTTCCCCCTGAACAGAACAATAAACAATTCCCATTTGTGCTCAAATTAGGCTGTCATACTGTCACTAAACAGCTTGTTTGTTTTTTTGTTTTTTTATTAGAGAACAAATCATTAGCCATCTGATGTTTATCAGTAATGACAAAATGGTGACAAAGTAAATAAGCAGAAGTGCAGGATAAACAGATTGATATGCTGCCACTGTATTTTCCGAGTCCACTCCCGTGCTTTTTTGGGTGTGAATGTGTGCGTTTTAAAAACATGTTTCCCTCCTTCTGAAACACACACAGTCACAGCAGGGCCCCCGCTAGCTTTCTGGCAAACAGTCATAAATCTGTCATCAGAAATGAAGCCATCACTAGAGCTGACCCTGTCCGGGTAAACAGCAATACATAACAAGGGCAGGAGAGACACACGCTCACTAACCTCTGCTTTAGTGTGTGCATTCACAAGTGCAGACATCTAAAGATAAATGCATGTAGCCCATGTAGAGTACTTCATTACATTCATTACTTTGTGGGTATAGTGGAGTTAAACGACAATAAGAAAGTGGACAGAATGAGAGAAGAAAAGAGGTAAAGTTGTCAGTGTTTGAGTAAGACAGCCATTACTTGTGGACGTGCTTGTCTTTTTGCTCAACAACAGCTTAACACCCCCCCTTTTGGCTGCTAATGTGTACTGCATCCAACGATCCACATGGGATCAACAGTCGTTTCACTAAGAGGACCTTTCACTCAGGTCAGGTTCAATTCCAGCTCAGGTTCTCTTTTTAATCCCCAATATTTTTGTGCATTCACATTCATTTGCTTACACTTACATTTCTCCGTCCTTTAAAGAATGTTTGTCTTATTCCCATCTGCCTGATTCATATCATTTTAATGTTCAGGCAAAAGAAAATGAAAACTATAAAGATAACTTTGAATAAACCCTTTGAAAACAATCTGATGACAGCAATCATCTGCAAGCTGGAAACTGACTTAAAAGTGTTGTATTAAACAACTAAACATATATGCATATTTTGCCAAAATCACACTATTTTTTAATTGCCCTAACTAGTATGGATATTTTAAATGACCTGCCAAACATGCCACATTTCAACAGGAACATGATTAAATTAACTGAATAATGACTTAAGTACAAACACGTCTCAGCCTAGCACATTATGCAGAGAGCTCTACGTGCAGAGCTATACTTCTGTGTCTTTACGCTAGCTATTGCGCTCCACTGGAACATACGCGTATGCCTCTATGTGCTTCTGTTTCTATTATTAGGCTTTTAAACAAGCTATTGCTAAGGGAATAAAATGCATATTTTGGATATTAGATAGAGCATTTTTTTTGCTCTTAGATTTATTGCAATAGCGTTATACTGTACTTTCTAGACACAAGGATGATTTAACTTTGAAGAGACCTTCCTGGTTTGAGAAAGAGGTTAAATAAAAGAGAATAGCTTAATGTAGTGTGTCAAACAGTGAATGAGTTGAGGATCATTGTGTGCATCTCCGACTAAGTCCAGTATTTTCAGAAAATAGTTATACATCCTGCATATTTAAAAAAAAAATGTAATTAAAACATCCAGTCTATCCAACAGCCCAAATGTGCACCATACTGGAAAAGTTATCCACCCACAAATGACACATGTATGTGTATACATGCACACACACACACGCAGACACTTGCCACACGCAGAAGTGTGAAGCAGGGACATGATGCTGTAGTCTAGCAGCAGTTTGTTTTAGGCAGCTTTTAAACAGCATGCCAGAGGTGCCACAAGCCTGCTGGGGCGGGGGGGGGAACTACACAGCTACCACCCCACTGGCTCACTGCTGCACAACAGCACACTCTACAGGTCAGCACGAGAACTACAACACAACTTCTCAAAATTGCTATAGCATGAGCAACAAAAGAGATATTTCCAAAGTCCTGACCAACCTGAGTGTTAATTAAAAATGTAAAACAGCATTGCCAAGATGTATACTATATATTATGGTGCCTTGAACATCACAAAACAATTGAGCAGAATGCATGAGCATCCTTGTTTAAGGATTCAATTTATCTAAGATAAAAAAAAAAAAAAAAATCAACACATTCTTCAATGTGTTCCTACTCTTGTGATTAGTCTGTGTATACTTGTTTTTTTTTTTATATTACTGACTATGAATGAGAGTTTTGTGACCATGGGAAAGTGGCCTAGTTATGGTCCTGCATGCCTGCATAGAATTAACCCCACACAAACCTCCCAAGAGACAAACACACATAAAATGAGGCTCCCAATTAATTAATATGGAATGAATAAATAAGAAAATAATTTGAAAATCAAGTGTAATATGATGTGAATGTATTCCTCACCTGGTGCACAGTATATATTGGCAATGGCATCTTTGTCACAACACTCCTCCACGTCACTCCAGCTACAAAAGTAGGTAATCTGAACATGACCTGAAGAGAGAAAAGAGAATAGAAAGTGTTCGCCTAAAGTCTAAGTGTGAAACATTCATCAGATGCTCTGCCTCTTGTCAACCCCACAGTCAAGTGTCACTGTGAATCTACTTTTCAAAATGTTTACTCACTTTTAGAGCACTTTCTCCATTCCTTTCTGCCTCTTTACATCCTTCCACAAGCTTTTCAAGCACACAGCCCCAATGATTACTCCTGTTTAGCGACTACCCGTTAACGCTATCATTAGAACTAATGGTGTCATTAGGTAGCCGTGGCCATTAGCCTGGGCTAGCCAGACTGATGCACCACACTACGCCGTTGATGGGCCCTTTAGAACAATAATTACCACCAGGGAGACGAAAACAGCCACTCAGCTAATTAGACGCTTGTTGATAACGAGGTGGAGAGAGATGATTGTAGGACGACAACAGAAGAAGTTGAGGGGGATTCTGTGACCTCCTAGTAAAACAACACTTTCCCTTCTGGATGAGCCTTCATTTTGGTAAATAGATTAGATCACAGTTGACTGATGGAGACAGTCCCTGAAGAAAAAGTGTAAATACTATTGGCTCTGAGAAAATAAAAAACAATGATCCTGGCTTCACATCTTACTGTACAGACGATATTTGGTTTTTGTTGGAGAAACCAATAAAACACACAGCAGCTTCTGAGGGATGTGACTTTATGCTTGCTGTGCGAGAAATATGAGCAGGAGTCGCCAAGAGGTTATAGGATTTTCATTCAACAACTACATCTGAAATACCTATGGTCAAAGATCGAATAGGTCAACAGTGTGGAAAATAGGTTTCTTTCTGCATCCTATGTTCAGTGCAGTGATTTTCAAAGTCTGTTTTGTGACTTTTTTTTTCAGTGGTCATCAAAATATTCACTTTAAGCTTCACAGTTTCTTCATTTTGGTGCATGTTTTGCTGGGTTTCAGCTTCTCGTAAAATTCTCTCACTGATAATCACGGTTGTCCATCTTTGCTTCCACAGTAATCTAGATGACCTGTTATCTCCACCATAAAGTGACAGGAATAATGTGTTAGGCTGTCACAGCAAGCATATTTTTGCATTCGGTCCACTCAGATTTGAAAAGATTCTCATCTGTGTCATGCACTAAATTTTACCTACAATGCATTTTTATTGCTGCACTGGTATACAAGCTGGCAAGCTGTTGCATTATTGTGCAACAACAGAATCATACACCCAAGCAAAACATCTACTACAAGCTTTTGAAAAGTTCTGAGAGAACTGTCAAGATTGTGAAATCTGACCTTAATGAAACATTTTTTGTCTTGTCTAAAACAGAGTCACGAAAAAAGGATGAAATGATGGATGTCATACCTTGATGGTCAAGCAGGATATTGTTGGGGTTCAGGTCTCGACAGATGATGCCCTCTTGGTGCAGGTAATCCAGGGCCATCACTATCTCTGCAGCCCAGCATCGTACAAACTCTTCCGGGATACGAGCTTGGGACGCAGCCAACGACAGCTCGTCCAGCTCGGCAAACAGCCGTGATACCGCTTTATCAAATTCAATGACACCTGTATTACTAATAACTCCTGATGGCTCACCATCAAGGTCTAACAAACTCTCATCCACTTCACAGGCATCAGCCCTGCTTGTGGCTAGAATAGAGTCTGCACCGTTGCCACTGGAGTCTGAAACCAACTCTGTGTTTACTTTTGTACTGGATTCTAGTTTCTCATTATGGGAGTCAGTATCTGGACTGCTTGCTTCAAGGTGGAGGTCATTATTATGGCATTCAGAATCAAGAACCATTTTGTCAGAGGCCTTTTGCTCAAATGTCAGGACGCAGTCATCCCACAGCGAGTTGAAAGTAGAGGACGATGCAACACTGGTGTCACAGGTCACAGCAGCTGTACACAAAGATGAAAGCTCCTGCTCCAGTGGCTGCTCCTCTCCTTCAGGTTGACTGTGAAGCTGTAAAACATCAGGCTGAATGAACTTCTGAGGAGAAGCTGGGGCCTCAGGGCCCAGACACACTCTTGAAGTCTCTAATTCCTCCTGTAAAGAGTCTACAGTCCCACTCATGACAGGCAGGTTGACCAAAAGGTCTGGTGGGTGACCCTCATCCTCCCCTACTGCCTCTTTAAATGAGATGACTGGCACTGACTCATTGGAGCCTTTATCACTACAGTCTAACCCCCAAAACTCTGAACCATGACCTTTGACCTCCTGAGCCAGCTCTGGAGGATACTCTGTGACATCCGAGCCTGGGTCAGATGCCAAGAAGAGAGGGACCTGCTTATAAGGGGTGTGCTGCTCTCCTAAGTCGAGGCAGGTCACCTCGCTTGCACTGTCTTTGCTATCAATACGGAAAAACTCCATTGGTGTATGCTTGGACTGATCCAGAGAGAGAGGCACTGCAGGGGAGGATAAAGGACTAAAGACTTCGCTGTGGTCCTGTCCTTCACCACAGTATTGTTCATTGTCATGGGTGTGGCCACTTTTGTCAGATGACTCAGTGAAGAAGCCAAGTTCCTGAGAGCTGATGGGGGAAGAGAGGCTATCATTGCTCAGCAGTGAGCGGCTGCGTGAGGAAGTGGTGGTCAGTGCAGTGGGCACTTCTAGGGACAGCATTTCCTGTTCACTCTTCTCATCTTCCTCCTCTAGTGCATCAGGGTCTACTTTCTCTTGCTCATACTCATTGCAAAGTGTCAAATAACTATTGGTGCACTCTTCCTCAGAAGTGGTTCCAGAGTCTGACTGGGCCCCAGTTTGTTCGACAAGCCTAGGAAGGAGAACACTTTTAAGAGCAGACATGGTGAAGTTTTCTCCCTCCTTCTGCAGCCCAGAACCAGAACCAGCAACAAGCCCTGATCCAGAACTGGCTGAACCTACATCCAACTGTGAAACAATATGCTGTGGAGAGTGTACAGCTGCTGTGTGACTCTTCTGGATGAAAGGAATGTCAAAGCTATCTTCTGGGCTGGACGTACGCAGGTACCTTTGAATGTGAGACCACAGCTTCCCACCTGAAGAAGAAAGAAAGAGACCATTAAAGATAAAAAACAGGGTGCATCTAAGTTAGCAGATACCAGAAAAATAACTAGAAACCAGGCAGGCATCTCACTTTTTTCTACAAGGAAACATTACATTTTAAAAAGGAACATGCAAAAGAAACTTTTAGTTAGTTTAGTGACTTTGGTTTCTGGGGCTCCTTAGTTACAGGGACGATTTGGTGAGAAGGATCATTAGTTTCCACTTGGGAATGAGTAACCAAGGTAAACAAAAACAATTGTGACTGATACCAATTTCACTAAATGGGGTTGGGTAGGTGTGTGTTTTAGGTTCTCTGTGTAATGTTAGCGTTTTGACTTCTCTTTGTCTTACACACGCACACACCCATACAGATACACACAGCTGTAGTGCGAGCAATTGGAAGCCAGCATCTGCTCTATGTGATGAGAATGGATAGGGAGTTCACAGTGATGATAATGATAGCGGGGCAGCTCGATGGCTTAGAAAGTAAAACCATCCACATGCTGTTTTGTCCAATGTCACTCAGGTCACTGCCTCCCTCCGTCTGCTTGTCTATCCTCATTCAACCCATCAGCTGCTAACAACATAACACAGAAGCACAAGGAGCAGCCCTGAATTTTTTTTTTTTTTTGACTCACAGAGCTGAGATATAACAGCAGTGAAACTATGCTTTTTCAGGCATTTCATTAGCTTTATTAGATCATGTTGAACAGCCCCATATGATATTCAATACTGTCCACTAATATTAGTGCAGAGCGATTATAGAGTACACCAGATTGAATAGGTTACAGGGCATTGAAAAATATGGCTGCATTTCGAGCCACCCACCCACACACACACAAAATCTACAGTACACACACGCATCCTAGAGTGAGTGGGATATAAGGAGGCCCAGGTGTTGGCTTAGCTAATGAAGCACAGCGCCACCTGGTATTCAGAATAATGACCTGTGACACACACCCATCTCTATCAAACATCTGTCTGGAACAAGGGCAGAGAGAGGAGTGGAAGACGAGAGACAGAGGGATCAGGTGAAGAAGGGGAAAAGATGGTTGGAGGTAAAGAAGGTGATGAAACTGATGAGTATGAAATGTGAACGCCTTACCTTCAGCATAATGCAGCAGGAGGAAAACAGTGTCTTCAGAAACAATGAACTTTCTCAGCTGCACCATGTGGGGCACAGAGTGAGGCATGATGGTCTTTTTAGCCCTCTCACAGTCACTGCTCTTCCTTAGACC